AACCCCAAACCCTAACCCTAAAACCCCAAACGGCATAATCTTGAAGACTGGCGATGTTAGGAATGGTCTACGGTTGAACCCATGGGCTCTAGTATGGGCCCTTAACCCTGGGACCCTTCTATTCCTACTCTATAACCTATATGTACCCTTAAATTAAAAATCCCTAAACCCTAAAACCCTAAACCCTAAACCCTAAAACCCCTAAACCCTAAATCCCTAAACCCTAAACCCCCAAACCCCTTAACCCTCTAAACCTCTAAACCCCCCCCCCGGAAGATTCTCTCAGGGCCATACTTCTAACCTTGGAAATAAACCCTAAAACCCAAAAACCCTAAAACCTGAACCCCAAAAACCCTAAACCCCCCTACAACCCTACACCCATATTAGTAGGCCCATACTTCTAACCTTGGAAATGGGAAACCCTAAACCCTAAACCCTCAGAAACCCCAAACCCGAAACCCTAAACCCTCAGAAACCCTAAATCCTAAAGGCCGAGGATCAAAGCGGTGTTGATGCAAGGAAAGGCCAGGGTGACAAGGGCACTTTCCTGGGGCTGCTCTTAGGGTCTTAGGGTTTAGGGTTTAGGGTTTAGGGTTTAGGGTTTAGGTCTTAGGGTCTTAAGGTCTTAGGGTCTTAGGGTCTTAGGGTAGGCCTTTGGGTCTTAGGGTTTGGGGTTTGGGGTTTAGGGTAAGTCTACGATTTAGGGCAGCTGATGCAGCTGATTCATAAACCTAAGAGGGGCTGCAATAGGGATCCTAACATGAAGGCACTTACAGAAGGGGCGTTGTTCAAATATGTTGTTGCTTTTCAAGGCTAGACGATACGAAAACTCGAAAAACAAAAACGATCCCAAACCCTACCTCTTAAACCCTAAGAACGGCCGAGTCTCTGGGTGCAGCTTCACAAGCCTTCGATGTGTCAAGTAGGCGATGCTCAGCGGTATCTGCAGGAGGACGCAAATCCTGGGCTGAGGGTCCAGCTTGCCACGATGATTAGGGTTGAGGGTTTAGGGTTTAGGGATTAGGGTTTAGGGCTACTTTTGGTTAGAATAGGGTCTCGGGGTATTTTCTAGTCCATTGATTCAGGTACTTGCAACCGCTGCAGGACATCCACTGTCTAAACCCCCGGAGAGCAGGTAAAGGGGTCGGAATGAATGCCAAGATACTTCCTTAGGGGTAGCCTGCTATAAGTAGACTAGAAAGACTGCTTTAAAAGGCCGCGAAACACGACACTTTTGTTCTCTCCTTGCCTTCCTTGTTTCCTTCCTTCAGCAACTGAAATCCTCGGCCCTAAACTCTGGGGGACAGGGTTCCTAAGCCGCAAAAATCGAAGCCGCAGAAGGCGCTAATGAAGGTCGGTAGGATTGAGGACTAGAATAAAAAATATAATATAATATAGTATAATATAATATAATAGAATATAATATAATATAATACCCTACCTGAGGAGCTGAATTTCCTGTTCCCTCCCCGTCGCCCTGCTTTTCCTTTGTACTTGGCGGCGCCTTCAAGGCACCGGCAGTTCAATGGCCCCCTTTGTTTGCGGCCGGGCCGAGGCGGACGACGCGAAGCGTTTAAAATTAGAATAGGGTTTTAGGGTACGTGACACTACAAATTTAATAAGGAACCCCCAAAATGGTCTTGGTAAGTGTTTAGGCCCTTATAGTACCTTGATCCCACCCCTAGAACCCTTTAACAAAACTTGTTTTAGGGTTTAGGACGAAGACAGCTAAACCAAGGAGCAGCAAAGCATTTGCCTCAAGGTAGCCCCACGTTGAAAGGCCCTGCATGATGCCCACGCCCACGAGGCTTAGCAGGAAGAGCCAAAGGGGCCCCACAGCCTCTGCTAAGACCTGCAACGAGAGAGCGTTTTGGGGCTAAGGCCTACCTGTAACCCAGATACCCACTTCTTCTTATGCGGAGATGGAAGAGCTTCCTAAACCTTAAAGACTAAACCCCCAAACCCTGAAACCTAAACCCCCGAACCGCAGTTTTATGGATGAGATCTGCAGAAGATCGCGACTGAGAGACGCAGCAGCAGGCCATCGACAGAGTGGACATGCCCGGTATTGCCTGAAGGGTTTAGGGCTTTAGGGCTGCAGGGCTCAAGGCAAATTCAGGGCTCAGGGCTTCAGGAGGGTTTAGGGTTTAGGGTTCAGGATCTAGGGTTTCGGGTTTAGGGTGAAGAAGCAGAATTAGGGCCAGGTTTCAGATCCATGAGACCTAACTGAAAGGACCTCAAAGATACACGGTTTTGGGCCATCGCAGGCTTCGGCTTCACAGTTCAAACTTTAGGTAAGCTCTCACACCAACCCTGGGAGTTAGGATTTTTTTGGGGGGGTTCCTTTAAAGGGTTCTATAAGGGCTACTGTAAGGGTTTAGGGTTTAGGGGCCTTAATAGGGGCCTTAATAATAAGAGGGGACCCTTGGGCCTGGAGGATATAGACCAAATCAAGGTCCCCGTTTGAAGAGAGCCAGAAGTAGGGGCTAAGAAGGGCCCTCTTTGAGGGGCTCTCCCTGCTACTACCTAGGAAAAAACCCTAAACAGCCCTAAAGCCTAAACCATAAACCCTAGACCCTAAACCCTAAACCCTAAACCCTAAGCCCTAGGAAACCCCACTGGACCATCCCAGACCTGCATATCACGCTACAAGGAAAGCTTTGGTTCTTGGATTGGGGTGTCAGGCTTGAGGGCTTCAGGGTTTAGGGTTTAGGGTTTCGGGCTTTAGGGCTTTAGGCTTTAGGGTTTGGGGTTTAGGCTTTAGGGTTTTAGGGTGTAGGGTGTAGGGCTTTAGGGTTTGAGGCTTTAGGGTTTAGGGCTTAGGGCTTTAGGGTTCCGGCTCCCAAACGCCCCAACGACGCGAGAGCCGCAGAAGCCCCCTTGCCCCGAACTTCAAACCTCAAGTCCCGATCCTCCCCAAACCCTCACCCTAAACTTGGAAGCCCTACAGCCTAAGCGCGAAAGCCTAAACCCTAAACCCTGAACCCTAAAGCCTAAACCCTAAACCCCAAACCCTCAAACCCTAAAGCCTAAACCCCCAACCCTAAACCCTGAACCCTAAAGCCTAAACCCTAAACCCTGAACCCTAAAGCCTGAAGCCTAAACCCTGAACCCTAGACCCTAAACCCAAAGCCTAAACCCAAAGCCTGAAGCCTAAGCCTAAACCCCAAAGCCTAAACCCCAAACCCTAAAGCCTAAACCCTAAAGCCCAAACCCAAAGCCTGAACCCAAAGCCTGAACCCTAAAACACTAAAGCCTGAACCCCCAACCCTAAACCCAGAACCCTAAAGCCTAAACCCAAAGCCTAAACCCTAAACACTGAACCCCAGAGCCTAAACCCTAAAGCCTGAACCCTAAAGCCTAAACCCTAAAGCCTGAACCCTAAACCCTAAAGCCGAAAACCCCAACCCTAAACCCAGAACCCTAAAGCCTGAACCCCAAAGTCTAAACCCTAAAGCCTGAACCCTAAAGCCTAAACCCTAAACCCTGACCCCAAAGCCTAAACCCTAAAGCCTGAACCCTCAACCGAAGCCTCGAGGTTGGTAAAAAACCTCGCGAGCAACGCCAGCCCGCAGACGACGAGCAGTTGCGCAGTGGTCCTGATCTGGGCTGGGAGGTAACCAGGGCTTAGGGTTTAGGGTGTAGGGTTTGGGGTTCAGGGTTTGGGGTTTAGGGCTTAGGTCTTAAGGGGTTTAGGGGTTAAGGGGTTTAGGGGTTTAGGGGTTGAGGGGTTGAGGGGTTGAGGGTTTATGCAAGCAGTCAGCANNGACAATCCGAGCGAGAGCGACGCCTGGATCCTTAACCAGAAGATTTAGATGCACAAATTACGAATTAGCCTGCGTTAGCACGGCGACGAGACGGGGTTTAGGTTTAGGGGTTTAGAGTTTAGGGTTTAGGGTTTTCAGGTCCGTTGGAACCCTGAACCCGTAGCCCAAACTCTCATACAATCCCCCCAAGAGCGCCATTATGGAACCCAAAAGCCAGATCAAGTTCCCAGGCGCATCGCCGAGGTCTGACTTTCTCGGCTCATAGCTGTGGCTCCAGCTGGTAGGAGGTCCTCAACCTCCATATGGGTAGTTCTCTAAATTAGGGTCACTTTCAGGGTCCATTTTAGTTGGGTACCGCACTATTTTGGGACGCTAGTTTAGAGACCTGCCCATGTCTTGATGGTACTAGGAAGGCTTTACGAGGGTTTTTACAAGGCTTTAGAAGGGCTTTATAAGAACCCTAGCCCCTACATGGGTGTGAGAAGGGCTGCATAAGACTATTTTTGTTGGGTCCTCATATAAAATCCGGCTTCTTATGAAAGATGTTGGGATCGCCCTGATAAGAGTACCTCAGTCGCGTGGGCCGTGCATGGCTTTCTTCGGGATTAAAACGGACTTCAGGGTTCAGCTTTTGGATTCGGTAATTCCGGCTTGGGGCGTCGGAGTTGGCGAGACCCTAAGCCCCCAAGCCCTACACCTTAGGGTTCAGGGTTTAGGCTTCGCTTTCAAGTGCCCGCCTGGGAATCCTAAACCCCCCCCCCTCCCTTCGGGGCTTCCCGACGCCGAGCCTGAGGCCCTGAGAGTCTAGGGTCTTAGGGTATTAGGTGTTTAGGGTTTAGGGTTTAGGGTTTAAGGTTTAGGGTTTGGGGTTTAGGGTTTTAGGGGTTTTAGGGTTTTGGGGTTTTGGCGCTTTGGGGTTTTGGGGTTTCGCGGCTTTTTTGACCTGAGG